TGTGCCTCAAATCGAAAGATTGAACGTCCGGAAAAGTCGTATTATAGTATTCGATTTTACGAAAGCAATGGATCAGCACGCTGCCGAATGGAATGCTTTATTGAATACTTCGCTAACTATCGATGAGATACGAAATTCAACTTCCGGATAGCGTACTCTTGCGCAACAACTGCGGGAGCTGCTTCATAATAAAAATAACATTCAATTGTCAGACATCGATGGTTGTCGAGCGGAACCATTTAAAATTTGTCTTCTTATCCGAGTGTTCGGCTATGGGGATGATTCAAATGCTACGCATTTAAAAAAAAATTAGCATACAGTTATGATTTTTATTTTAATGGGCATATTCAGTTGCTCAATTGTGAAGCTGCAAGTAACATGAATGAAAAAGAAATTTCTAGGTAAAGGGTTAGAAACATTACTCTAGAATAAAATGCATGCTCACATCTTGAAGATGCAATTGACTAACGTCACGTTAGACATAAGATTTCGAGAACACAAAACCGTTTAATTCTGGCTCATGCACTTGTCCCATTCGATCTGTGTCAATTCGATCTGGTCAAGAATGTATACAAAGTTCGCATAGAATTCTTTTCCTTATATCTATCCAACCCACTTTCCGGTGGGCAATGCAAAGAAACTTTGCTAAATTCGTATCTTAATAGCATGTAAATTATTTTCGATTGCTTTCTGCTCCCAGATGCACACGCACTAACGCTTGAGAGCAAGTATTCCCAATTCGACTTAAAACGCGTTTCGCATCATTTTTTGTTCCTTTTGCTTTTCCCTCAACGCTTTCGTTAACAACAATAATTGAAGTGAACAGAACTTTATTGTATTGCCTTCAAAATAACCCTAAGGACAACATCAGCGTGATTGCCCCGGTTGTTGCTTGCAATTTAGTTTTCACATTCAATTCAATAGCTTTGTCGGGTTGGTTTATTGTTTGTGTTATTACTGTAGAAAGCAACAAAAAGAAAAAACCTTAAAATTATATGACAAAGAAGAGAGTTTGTACCTCTCATGTAACACGATAACAACTAGCAAGGTCAGTTGCCCTTGGGTGCTCTTACTCTTGGTTTACTTAGCTATACATTGTTGCGGAGTATTAAGGCTTTCATGAAAAGATACATCAGAGCAAGAGGGATAATTGTTTTCTTCTTTTTTTTTCTTTCTGTCTATCATCATGACAATGCGTGCATTGCATATGTATAAGGTTCCGCTTCACTTAAGCGTAAGTTGACACAATGACAGCTTAATTCAGGGAAATTAAAAACAAATGAACGTCCCTTTGAAGGCAGGAGAGAAGCTACAAGAAATTGTAGATTTTAACACCTTAGCTAGAGTTACTCGCACTGAGCACTAGGATCGTAAAGTCAATTTCTGCCTTAAAGACATGATTGCTAAATAGAAAGCAGAAGGACATAGCCAACGATTCATAAAATGTGATCAGGTTCATAATACCAATATATTCCTTAAATTACACAGACGGAAAGCGGCGACTTTTCCCGCCAGTTATCTCTCAAGGTTGAAGAAGTAAAGGACATACTGGCAAATTGAAATTGGGTATCTTGGAAAAATTAACCAACGAGTTAGGATTTCATTACGTAGTCAGGCATTAAATATTATAGAAAAAAAAAAAAAAAAAGACGACGACTACAACTAAAGACGAAAGCGTTTCTTTGCCGCACTCAGAGCCTGCCTTCGTTGAGAAGAGGTTTAAATCCACTTAAAACATAGTTTCAAATCGGTTGATATAATAAAATCTGGATCGATCTCGAATTCTTCCGTTGTGTATACATGACCGCAAACTTCATGATATACGTTTTTCAAGCGGTGGTTCGGTGTAATGAGAAGAGAAAAGTTATGCGAGCTTAACGGCATTAGGTGGCCATCAGTGCCGATCTGAATGACCTTGAATCGAATGGACAAAATAATTTCGCCACCGAGAGAACCAATCTCTCCTATTATGTGAAGGCTATTCAATTATGGCGTGGTCCATGCATCTGGTTAATCCTGGAATACCTACAAAAGTAACTAATCGACTATGTCGATCTCTTTAGCGCTGACGAGTACACGGAGTGTGTGTGTGTGTAATATGAAATGAGATTTAAATGAGGCACGACAAGAATATTTTCTAAAGCACACTATAATAGCAAACACACATTCATAATAGTCAAATTTTATGGCTAAATCCGACAATGACAGATGGACGGATAATGACGTATATATCCGTCTTATGCAGTTAACTGGTTAAAGAGAGATTAACGCTTATATCCATGTACTTTTGTTTTGAAGTTTAAAAAATTTTTTCTTATAGATGTATAATCATAGTCATAGGTTACGTAGAAAATAACTTAAAAAAGCCAAGTAGTAACATTTTGCCAAACATCATAGCTTTCTTTTAAGTGCCACTATCTTCTATGTTTGGAAACATTTTAATTTATAAGAAAAAAAACGGTCAACTGTAACGACACACTATTGTGTCTTTATATATATAATTATGAATATATACTGAACACGTATATGCATATGGAGAATCACAAAGTGGTTCTATATATATAAGTGCTTATGCGTGTACAGAGAGTAGCAATGCGATTCTCCTAGTGAGGACGCAAGAATTCGATTAGTGGCAACTAAATTGTAGAGATATCCTTACGGATGGATTGGCTGGAGTTCAGCATGTGGCCTCTTTAGGCTAATCCTCCTATATCCTCTGGTCCGTAAATTTCAGAAGAACACAACAAATTAAACAAATTCTGACCATCTTATCTATCCTCCTAAACCTTGTCAAGCCCGTATTTGGGAACAATCCGAATACAAAAGAAGTTATTGCCATGTTCCCCCACGTTTCGTCAGGCTTTTATTTGTGAGGGATTGAAATGTAAAGGAAGTTCTTTTCAACTTTTTTTGCTCAATCTTTACACATTTTCAATGATGATATCAACAGTTCTCTGATGGTAACAATGTCTAACTATGTATGCATTGACCTGACTCCACTCAAATTCAATATAAACTTAAGTAAGTAAATCTAAGGTCATTCAATTTAATCAGTATTTCCAAGAGAAAAAAAGAAAAGAGAGGTAATCTTTTCGATTCAATAGATTGACTAACGTACAAACACTTGAATCACATTTCCTTCTCTTCTCATCACTTTTGTATTTTTTTGTTTTGTTTTCAGGATGATTCTCGCATGACACTGGACTTGGGTAATTGAAAGTATGTGCAATATTTCAGTGCACACATTCATGCTTGTATTTACGTGCACACGTGTGCATGTGAATGCACGTAAATGGGAGTACAATCATTCCTCTTGTCTCGCTTACATAGTCAATTTGCATTTATAAGATTTCATGTGGAAAAATTACGTTCAAAGTCAATTCTTACACTTGATGGTAAATGAGAGAAAAAAGTAAAAAGTTTTCTCTAACGTTGTTCGTTATGCTAAAGAACTAAATGCGGACAGAGTTAACAACATCGATGGACAGGATAAGCGGCAAGGGATAACTAAAGAAGAGGAAATCATTTAATTTTCAAACAGTTGGGCAAACAGACGAACATTCTCAGGTACACTTCAAATTTGAAACTGGTCAAGAATTTATATACCTTATGTGATTTTTGAAGTTGGTTCTGGACGTCACAAAGGTTTTGACAAAACGAACTGATTCCTTCAGAGTGGGTTTGAGGTGCTCGGTATCGAGTAAATTTGTCGACCACTGTAAAATATATTTTCGTTAGAGCACGCCCATGATCGGTGGATTACTTTATCGAGTTTACTGGGTATCGAGGAGAACCATAAACCGGCCCCTGCTTTCATAACAGGTCTCGAAGTCCTGTTCTACTAAAAATTGTCCTTCAAACCACTCATAAACATTATCGTAAATAAAGCAAAGAGCACATTGGGCGTTGCAAAGGAAGTTCGTGATCAGTAATGAAGCGTATTCTAGGATACGGCCACATTGCAACCAGATCTTTACTGTAAGCAAATTTAATTCATGCGAAAACAATTACTACGGTTTTACTTGCGTCGTTGGCCCTGCAAGCCTTACACCCGCCTTGCGCCATACAGAAAACGTTTAGCGCTTAAAATTTACCAGCTCTAGAAAACAGACAAGTAGTGTTAAATATCCGTCAAAAATACACATTAACGTTCCACAGCGATCATCAACACATTTTCGAACACCTATTAAATAAAGTTACTAAAGCTACTACAGAAAGAATTGTGGCTTCAATGATCCTATCTGAAAATTATAGAAGCAATGCAGTGATCAGAATGTGAGTATAAGTTGATTGGGTTTGCGTAATCTGCAGTCTAATGCACTGCTTGTTTGTGATCGGTTAAAGCCTATCGAAGATGATAGTAAGAGCACATTTCGCAGTCTGCAAGGTAAGCAGAGAATGACCATCTCTCGGTTGGCAGTACGGCATACATGTGGCCGCGGCATCTGTCGTAAAGAAGAAGAAAGAAAAGCAAAGAATTTGGAAGAAGGCTATCTACAGGAGCGATCGAGTGAGTCTTGAGTACTTAGCGTTGCAATAATCGTGAAATTTTTAATTGTGGGTGTGTCAATCTGACGAGCGAGACCTTTTTATATCGAACATGTCAATCACTCAATTCTTTCTACTAGATTTTATATCGACGCCTTTTAAAGACGAACATAGTTAATAAAGGCATTTCTGATTGTCGGACCTTTTTTTGAACCTAACCAAATTGAAAATTCATCGTCCCAGTATTAAGTAATTTTCTACGTTTTTGAGACCGTAAGAATTGCCACAACGGACTTAAAGATATCGTAACCTAAGGGCTATTATAATTGTTATATCTACTACAACTATTCCGGCATAAATTCACGTTTGGTTGATGAATGCACTAAGAGAATAGAAAGAGTTCTAATTCCAGTAAGCATTGCTGCATTTCAAAAGCATTTCATAGTCTTTTAAAATTTGCCTTAAAACGCAATTTATTTTTCGAAATTGTAAAGTTTCCAATAAACTTGCAAATTTTCATACATAACTACGTAACGCAAAAAAAATTTTAAATTGGAGTTTTTCCTCCTCGTATGTGTTAATATGGAATTAAGTTCACATTGTATTGAAGTGAGTCCGTTTAAACTATTGCTAAGGAGTGTGAGTTTCAGAATTTCTACGATTCCAACGCCAAACAGTCGCGTCGTCGCATACCCATACTAAAACGCTACCGTCACGTGAAAACGCCGTTTGCCTGACTATAGACGTACAGCGTATATTATTCAATGTGCTGGAATGCGTATGGCGAGGGTCAGTAGGATCCAATTCCCATATGTAAACTTTACCGTATTGATTACCCAGTGCTATGATTTTATGCCATGGATTAAACCCGAAACGAACAAACCACATTTCACATTCGTCATAATCAAACTCGCAAATGATCGTGCATGAAGCATCGTTCGGTTTTAATTGCGATAAATGCTGATGCAATTGACCTGGCTTCCAGCAGACAATCGAATTCTCACAAGATTTTGAGAGTATGAAATCTCCGAACCATTGCACGCAATCTACATAGTTGCGATGTATATCGCGGGTAGAAAAGTCGGGAAAATGTTGCATTATGGTTGGGAAAGGCATTTGAGATTTGTTCGCATTGAATATTCGCGATAATTCGATTTTCTCCTGGAACTCAGTTGTATTAATAAGCCATAGCTTAAGGGAATGATCCATGCCACTCGACATAATACGTTCGCCCCGCGAGTCAAAATCAATGGAAAGAACTTCATCTCGATGCCCTTCCACGCCACCAAAGATGGCAATACAGACATGTGTTTGTATATTCCATAAGCGTATAGCATGATCTTTGCTACCGGACAGCAGTAGAAAAGGTTGACGAGGATGAAATTTAAGTTCATTAATGGCTTGACCATGGCCAATATAATTGCCCACTGATTCGTTGCGATTCACATCTATGACTCGTATAACGCCACGATAACCAGCCGTTGCCAATAAGGGCATGCTAGCCTTTTGTTCATAGGACCAAGAGCATGTATAGAAAACCTCATCAGGCTAATAAAAAGGAAGTAAAAGGAAAACACCAAAATAATAAAATATTTCGTCGAATTTCATATTATTTACATCGGGATCTGCATAAACCATTAGCAACTTCAGACCGCCATTTTGCGGACATTCGTAAACACTGCAACGATTACTGCCCGCCGTAGCAAATATCAAAGGCTGATCTTTTCCCAATAAGTGATTAAACGCTATCCCAAATATAGCCTGACCGTGATCCTCCTTTAAATGACAACTTTTTACAAGAGAGAAAGAATAACTCTTACCATATTTTAATATCAAAAAGAGTTGTTGTTGGGACCCTATCAAAACTTACTCATATTTGTAAGAAGGGCGATTAACTTTTGTTTTGCTATGAGTGCGACTGCGTCGCTGCCTGCGCGAACCGGGCGATTTACTGCGCGAAGTTGTTGTCGTACTTATGCTGGCCGTTTCATCCTTTTAATATATTATCTTGTTAAACTTTCAATGCCTTAAGTGAACATTTTAACAATTTTAAACTTACTTCCGCAGATTCATTTTCACTGTTTTCTTCTTTTGCACTTTCTTTTGGTGAACTTTTATCCATTTTCACTTTTGACATAATCTACTAACAGTTTATCCAATTTTTGTTAAAGTTTATCACTTTGTAACAAACAATTCTTACATTTTTATAAAATTGTAAGAAATAAATAAAAACCTATTAAATGACAGTTTTGGCGCTAAGCAGTGAAATGTATGAATACAAACGTACGCACACATATCTAAGTATCTTTGCATCTTATTGATAACAGCTGTTATGCATAAACGATTATATTGAAACAGAGTCGTTTGTGAAACTGAAACAAGGCAATAATATTTTCATTTAAACAGAGCTGCCAACTGTTCAATTATATAAATACTCCCACAATAACCGGAAGCAATAACCGGCTGTATATATAATAAAAATAAAATAAAAAATATATTCCTCTATTAAAACGACTTAAATCTATTGAGTTGTATTTTTAAAGCTGTTTTCAATGTAAATTAAACTCAAACTTCGATATACTTGTATTTCAGTTGAAATAAAATCCATTTCATGACTTTCAGCTATACTATCATACTGATCCTTATATATAACTGGAGAGTTTCTTTCAGTTACTTAACCATACGGGAGTTGGCAAAATAAAACAAGAAAAATCTTGGAAATTTATTTGTTCGAAAAATTTATATACAAAACAAAAGATACATAGACCGGTTTTTAATCTGCAGATATATTATACAAGTGTTCTAAGTTATTACCTGTCTTTTTAGTCAGGTATTTTGTACTTTTCTTTATGTGCCTGTCAAAATAATTTCATGACCTACTTACAACAAGTCAAAAAGGCGACGGTCATACGTAAAAAGATATCAATCGCGAGAATCTAAAAATTCTTTAGCTTATTAGAAAGCAAATAATTTATGTTCTTGCTGAGAGAGACCGTTAAATAACCTAGCCGTCCTGTTTGTATGTAAAGTGAAATTCTATTTCTAACATGTTGAAAGCGGCTCTTAAATATATATATATATATATATTTATAAGAAGAAGAAACTTGTGTGATATGCACATATATTTTAATACTAAGCGGAAAAATAGCTACATTCGCGGTGAGGTTTAGTCCGTCAATTCATACATATCAAAATCTCCCTATAATATATAATATTAATTTAATCCCTTTTCCTTAAACTTAGTTTACTTCTCTGATATTGGTGATGATGCAGTGGCGGACAGAATATGTTTCTTTTCGAACCGACTTAGTTTACAAATGCCAAGTTTCAACTGTCTATTGTCTTTTATGACGTATTAAAGAAATACGCAAATAAGTCGTTGTGCAAATGGGTATAAGTGATTTAATTCACAATGTCTTTAACAGCCAAGGTCGAATGTTAGAAATGGAATGACCATTCTCCTTCGCTTGTATTGTACACTAAATTAAAGCAAAAGCATTATTATTACTATAATAGACCGGTTAAAAAACAATCAGAAAGAAGAGAGAGCAGGACAAGCACAAATAATATTGGTGTATCTGCCTATTTAAATATTGTTAATAGAATTTCGAAAAACAAAAAGACAAAAAGTTTCATTCACCGAGATCGAATATTGGATACTCATCATCACGCGGTCGTATATATTACAAATAGAAAAGCGTATTGCTAATCGTGAAAATTCCAGAGCGATTTCATTTTAAATTGTACAGGTAGCAATTCCTCTTGTGCTATTTCGTGTACGCCATAACCCCTTCCTGTCGTGATTTGTTTTAGTACAAGTATTACATATATATGTTAGTACAAGTATTATATGTAATTATATATAATTTTATTTATTAAAGCTATTTAAACTTCACTTTCAAGCAGATATTTCTTTATTTATTTCTTTATACGAATTGCAGTTTCGAAGCAGTTTAAAAATGCTTTGAAAAATAAAGTATTGGCAACCATAGTATCTTCTATTTGGAGAATACTCAATTAAGTATAGGGTTGCTTAATGAAGAGAGATAGAAACCATGCATTCATAAACTTTTAATTAACAACTTATTTCGTTTTATTATGTTAACGCATGAGCTAACGAACGAACACATGCTTTGGTTTGAAAACATTTTATAAATTTATTTACAACAGGATAGAAGAATAAATTAGCAAAGGATAGAGGTAAAGAAAGTTTGTATGTATGTAGTCCTCTACAGTGAAAAGAGGGGGCGATAGTACCACGTATATTAAATTGGAGAGAGAGAGAGAGAGAAAGAGAGAGGAGAGAGAGACACAACAGACATAGAGCGAGAAAGTGATAGAGGTAGATATAGATACTTGTGTGTTTATCAGGAAAGTTCTTTGTGTGTAATTGCTTGAGATATTATGTATATTAGAGAGAAAAATAAATGAAATTCCAAAAAGAATAAAACAGAATAGAATTCTAAATTAATAACAAGTTAATAACAAGAAAAAGTGTTTGGTTTTTGCTTAATTTAAGTACGTTTTATCATTCGTCGTTGATCTAGCCCAAATAGGTGTGCGCAGGCGTTTTTGTCTTTGTATGGTTAGTTTATTACCGCTACTGCTACTGCTAGCCGCACTGTTTCCTTTATGCTCATGCATGACGGTTTCCGTTGTAGTTGTTGTATTTGTTTTTGTTAAGGAGCAGGTATTTGCGGTACTTTCTGTCACGTTTTGAGCGGTGGTAATTTGTGCACTTTCTTCCTCTAGTGCTTGTGTTTCCTTGGATGAGGACGGTGGTCCTGTTGGGCCACTATGAGTTCGTGGCGCTAAACAAACACCTTTAGTACGCCCCATTATGCTACTATTGCTTTGATTATCTATCAAGGAATCATTTCCTCGAGTGGGAGTTTGTTGTTTTGTTTCATTTCTTTCCGTGCCGATATCGGTATCCTTGACGCTACCGTTATGCTTTTGCAGTCTCAATGGATTTCCTCCCTCACTTTTATGTTTTACGTTGAAAATTTGGCATTCAAGTAGGAAACAGTGTATGCAGCAGTAAGCAGAGAGTAAAAATCAGCCATACACATATTTATTTATTTAGTTTTTTTTGTTTTTGTTAAAACGCAATTTTTTTTTGACACAAAAGAAGAAAAGAAATATATGAATAAATATTTTTAATTTTGTTATTGCAACTTTTAAAGAATTTAAAAATAATATACGTTATATATATAGTTTTTTTTTTACAATGGAAGGAATACAGAATAAAAGGATTTCAATTTCAATTTCGGCTGATTTAAATAACTTGGAATTAATAATAATAAAGCTATTTTAATTTCATTTGAAGCCTCGGCTTAATGCCATGACGAAAAAATGAAATGAACTTTGCATTTAAATCTCTTGATTACTATGAAATAGTGAAACATTTTTTTTTTTTTTTTGTTTTTTTGTTTATTGGTACTATTGCCTTTGACGTCTATGTAAAGTTCCATTTCAACATACTCCGTTGCCGTAGAGTAGCACCTTTTCTTGCAGGCGTCCAAAAGTGCTTTTTCGGTCTGTGAAGCAACGATTTTAGACTGCAAATATATCATGGAAAGCACTATCGTGCAAAAGGTAAGTCTAGGCTGAAAGAAAGTTGCTCAAAATCAAGGTGACAATCATAGCGGTATTATGCGTTACGAATTTCTTGCGACGGGCTAGACTATTAACATTTGAATTCTGTGAAGACAATGAAAGGGATGAGAGTGATTTAAACGAACGAATAAAGATCATTTCATTTTATAAACAAATTCGCTTTATTATTTCGTCTCGGTAACACGTTGGAATCTATTTTATGATTTCCGTATTCCTCCGCTGTTCATTTTATAACAAAAAATGTTTTGGCCAGAGTTTACTTCAACAAGTAAGTCACAGTTAATGTAACCAAACTTTGACGTTCATTGAGGATAAATATAGTCAGCGCTAGTTACCATATGTTTCCTCATTGCATATAATAATAATGAATTGGGCAGTAAACGATACGTGGGCCCACTCGAGTTATCTTCTCTTCAGGGAAGAGATACTAATGTTTATTGCTTGCCCAAAATGTTTTTTGTAGATAATTACGTTTAAGTGAAAAGAAATATCTGAAGGTTAGCATATGTCCAAAAATATGCCTTAACCTCTTGACGGGAATGACGTCCTTATAGTAAGTGTGCGTCAATTATCCCCATTTTTTCTCTCTCTAAGGGAAAATGAAAAAAATATACTTTTTTTGACCAAATTGAAAAACTTAAATTTTAATTGGTTGTGTACCAAAATCAAGAAACTCGCATTAGATAGAAAAGGAAAACTAAGAGATTTACGGAAAACAATTCAAGTTGAAGTTTGGAAGCGTAGAAAAGGTCAGATATGTTTGCATACGTTTTCGAGAGGAAAAACTTGCAGAGTAGTAGTGTAGTGCAAAATAAGAGAAATGCAAAGTACGTACATACTATTACACACACTCTTTAATTGTAATTATTTGTAAATTATTTAGATTCATTCGCAAATCACCGAAAGTTATTCTCAGCGAGACTGAGCGAGCGAGAGAGAGAGAGAGGTAAGAAGAAATAGGAAATATATTAAAGGCCGAGACAAGATCTCTAGTATATAGACTTGCTCTCTAACACTTACATTCCATTCTTAATAAGATTTTTTAGAGGAAACTATAAAACACACAAGAAGAGTAAATAATCGAGGAGCTAGTTAAACACATTTATTAAGGAAAAGACGAAGAATCCATTTTTATCTATCTATTCTAATTGGAAGGAAGCTTAGTATTTTTAGCATCTTTAAATATTTCTCATTTTCAGCAAACTACAGACATATCTAAAAGCATAGCATTTGTGACAATCCATATTACGGTTATTTGTTATGCAATTGTGTGATATGGAAACGATGAAAATGTTCACATGATAATGATTGGGGTAATAATAAACTCGCTTGCATTTAGATAGGTAGCAAGTTGCTTAGAAGAACTTATTGATGTGCGAGTTCCGCAAGTAAAAAAATGTGAAAAACTTCATACAAAAAAATCGTGAGAAAAAAGAAATGCTATTAATGAAAGACGTTAGATGAAGGTATAAATATGAACTATGCACTAAAACAAACATACATTCATACACATACATAGAGGCATTTGAAGAAACTAAACATATAATGCATGAGGGCGGACGCGTAAACTTACTCTTCACTTTCAATCGACGAAGACGAATTTTGCTTCAACTTTGCTTTAAGCGATGAAGGATTTCTGAAACATTTATGTGATACGAAAAAGAGAATAAAAAAAAAAAAAAAAACGAGAAAATGAAACCAAAGATAACATAAATAACTTAGATGAATACTACGACGACCAAAGGCTGATGGAAAACTCATTAAAAAAAAAAAAAAAAAAAAATAATAGGAACTGAAGAGGAGATGAACAAAGGAAACATAAGAGATAAAGCATTTCGACAATGACAAGTATAAATGAGCGGAGTTTGCACAAATGCGTCGTGACGACCGTAAGGTAAATTACATCGAAACAGATTTTCATACACAAAGCAAGCAAATAATTCATATGATATCGTTTTTTTTAGTTATTTGTTTTTGATCGAAGCAATAAAAATACACTGAATTCTTCGTACGATTAAAGCCTCTTTAATATAATCTCACCGTTTAAACTCCAATTTAGTGGAATGCATTACCTAAGCTTATGAAAGATTTTCACTGTGTTATGAATAATAATTTTTGGTTTTTGAAAAGCTAAATATATATAACTAAGAAAATGAAATAATTATTCAAAAGTAACAACAAGGTATGTTAGCATATACATGATGTTCAATTTGGCTTTGAATATAGCGCGCGATAAGAGCTTGTTTGAAAACTACATTCGGCAATTGCTGAGATTTATTATTCATTAGCGAGAAGAAAAGGAAGAGACAAAATAGAGGCCTTCAAAAAAGCTTTCGCTCCTTTCCTCCTCTCATCGCCTTAACACTATGTGAAGCGAAAAGAGAATAAGATTTTGCCAAATATTCTCTTAATTTTTTCCTCTTTTTTTTTTTTTTTTTTTTTTTGCTTGTAAAATAGAAACGATATTTAAAACTTGACACTCACTTGGACTCATCGAGGAAGACGCATTCAAGTACACGCGCTGCATAATGCAAATTCTTTTGCAAAATATCTGGGCTTATATCGCCAGAATTTAACAATCGTAACATACATCGTAACCTAAAAAAAAAAAAAGAAGAAAAATAAATGAATAAAGTATCGTTGTCGCCTTGGAATTATGTTTTTTTACCTTATTGCGGCTTTATCGCAGGCATCTGGTGTATCGACAGCTGGTAAGTTTTCGGTACTTAAGTCAACGCTTGAAACTTTTGTCGCTGGAACATACTCCGTTGGTGTTACATCGATTTTGGGCTTCGTTAGCTCACTCGATCCTGGCATGTTTGAATGTCTCGAACGTTCAGCTAGTGGGGGACTAGGATTTGGTATATTAAATTGCACAGTACTACTCGCAGATGATGAGGGATGCATTTCGTCAAATTCTCGATTAAACTTTTCCGTTGAATCCGCGGAGTGTAAACGAAGTGGAATTGCAGCAGCAGCACCTGCAGTCGTATCAACTGACAATTCTATTAAACGACTGTCGCCGGCCGTTTGCTTATTTGTTCCACTAAGATTGTCTGCGGTGACTGAGACGGATTTTGTAACCAATTGCTCATTGGCTGTGGTTGTCGGCGAAATTAAGTGATGAGTAGTCTCGTTGTGTGCGAAACTTTTCCGACTATTAGAACGCCGAACAATAGTAAGACCTCCGTGCTCTAGCAAAATATTAAGAAAGAAAGTAACAATAATGATAGGATATATGTGATTTGAAAAA